TTGGCTGCTGCCAGATAGGCCCAGGGGCTCTGGGACTGGCACTTGTGGCTCAGTTTTTGACAAGCATATCTCACTTTCCCTGTGTGTGGGAACCACTGCCTTGTGTATGCACTGTGCGGCCTGCTCTTGACTATGGTCTTTAGCCCGTGTCATCTCAGCCTGTTCTCTCTGAGTCTTATGCCCCCCTAGATCAGAAAATGCAAAGAACATGCATTCGCCTTAGAAATGTCAAACAGGAAGTTACTACAGAACAAAGGAGGCCACCAGGAAGTGGAATCTGCTGGCCTGGTTTTGTGTGTGTGTGTGTGTGCTCACGTGTGCACGAGCGCGCACACTAGTCTGCTCAGCTTGGCACTGAACAGTGACAAGGATAGGGAGTGACACACAGCACCATTCAAGCCTTAGTGGGAGAACAATGCACATATGAAGGAGAAACATTGGTGATTTGGTGTTGCTGGTTAGGTACAAGGTTCTATATGAGTGGAGGACTGGAGAGCCATCCTGATATAATAAAGGGACCCGGGAGGCCTCCATGGGACTGCTGTGTAAGCTGGGACAAGAAGTAGCTAGAAAAAAAGATGGATGCCAACCTGTGGCCCAAACAGTGCTGGATACTACAGTCCAGACCCCTGGTGGCTGCTTTTTGCACAGGCCATATAAATACCCTTTCTCCTCGGTGGTAACGTGGGCCATGCCCAGGTGCAGTACTGCCTTCTGAGGCCTTCTGAGGTGTTGAGCCCTGGAACCTTAATGGCAGCTGAGCCTATGTAAGAACCCAGAATGGCCTGAGCTAGGAAATGAAGATCAGTGCCACCTGTGGGTCTTAAGGGTGTCCAAGGCTCTGTATCGTGGGGTGCCCGTGGGGCGGGCTGTTCAGTGATGGCTCAGGTGACCCTTTGATCAAGAGTGGGTGTTGGGGGTAGTGACTCTGTCCAGACACTGTTAACAGGGCTCCTGTTAGCAGGGTTCCCATTGTCAGACTAGTCTGGAGGCTGAGGCAGAAGCATACCTTGAACATTTGGCTTGAAAATAGCCTGAACAATATAGCAAGACACTCTGAAAACACAAAAGTGGGTTTCTGCCTGGTCCCTCCCTTGAAAGGACTTGACTCAAGAGACCTGTCCTGTGAGCCACCCAGTCTCCAGGGAGACATCTCAGAGGCAGGGTGTTTACAGCTGACTGGGGCACATGGAGAAGAAAGGTAGGCACCAAGTGCCTGTGACCATTGAGACAGTCACCTCAGGACCTGAGAAGGGCTTCCAGCCATCCCTGTTCCATTGCTGTTGCACTGCCAAGACTGGTGTCTGCATACTAGGTACCAAGCACTGACCTCTGCCTCAGGGCCAGTCATGTGATATTTGGGAGTTCCCTGGCCAGGGCAACCTAGGCTGATACTTTATCCTTCATTACTGCCAAGTATCTGCTATTGTCACTCAAGGACCCCATCTGGCAAAGTAGCAGGGTATGGCATTTCCCATCCTCTTTACAGGGTACAGGGGTGGGTTTTTTTGTTTTTTTTTCCAGTATCTCCAAATATCTGTGTATGTAGGACCTCCTTATGAGTTGAGCTGAGCAGTTCTTAGAAAGGAATTAATGAGAATATTCATGTGACTGCCCAGGCTCCTAAAGGAGCTACCAGGTAGTACACAACACTGTAGACTACAGTGGCCACAACTGGAAATCCTACTGTCTCCAGTGCTGCTCCACACAGGTCGAATACCACTGCTTGTGTTTCCTGGAGTGAAAGTGACTCCTTGGCTTGTGCAGGCAGAGCTGTGACTGGCTTTGGGTGACCTGCCTACCACAGCTTTCTTGGGAAGGCCTAGCTAGACACCATTTCCAGGATCCGGGAAAGGCTGCTCCTCTTGGATGGTTTTGGGCCAGGCTGTTCCCTGGACTGAGTAGGTAGCAGTCGATGTGCTGGGGGCAGTTGAGGAGAGCTTTTGTGGAATTTTCTGGTTTTGAGCTTATTGCTCAAGTGGGATTCAGCTTGGGACTCCTGAGCACTGCACAGGTGCATGCTGGGATGTGGCTGTTACATGCAGGGAGAACACAGGGAGAAAAGCAGGCAGAACTGAATTGTAATTCTGTACAAGAGTATCATCCCTTCTCTGCTTGAAGTGCCTTTCCTCGCTTCCATTCCCATGGCATTGACCTGTCACACCCTTGTCGGAATTGTGTGCCACTCTTAGACCTTTGGGTTCTTATGACAGTGGCTTCAACTTTTAGCTTGACTTTGACCTTTCTGCTTCCCTCTACCCAAGCAATGAACTTCAGGCACTAGAGGCCTTGAAGACCCTGAGGGCAGTGTGCCAAGCTAGTCCCTGATGCCCCCTGCTTCCTGTCCCTTCAGGTCCATGCCTACATCATCAGTTCCCTCAAGAAGGAGATGCCCAATGTCTTTGGGAAAGAGAGCAAGAAGAAAGAGCTGGTGAACAACCTGGGAGAGATCTACCAGAAAATCGAGCGGGAGCACCAGATCTCCCCTGGCGACTTCCCGAGCCTGCGCAAGATGCAGGTACAGTCACCAGGCCAGATTCTGAGTGTTCTGTGTAGGGCTGAGGCAGGCCCAGGGTGGTGGGCAGTGGCTCTGGAGGGAACCACAAAAGGAAGCAGCTGGGTTAGTCATCAGTTCCCCACCCGAATCAGAGTTGACCTAGGTCGAGACACTGACTCAAATGAGGGGAATGTGGTGACTCAGCTTAGGGGTGTAGTATGGCTGTCGGTGAATCTTCACTGCAGCCTGGCGAGGATGGGTGCCACTGTGACCTCATCACAGAGTGAGGAGCCTAGGCCTACAGCACTAGCCTAGTTGCCTGAGCTGGTAAGAGGGAGCTCTGCTCTCCCTACTTGGGTAGCCTGGCTCAGTCCACTGTGCCTGGAGTCTAGGAGGCTGCCCCACCAGGCTTTCCTTTCTCTCCACTCACAGGAACTCCTGCAGACCCAGGACTTCAGCAAGTTCCAGGCTTTGAAGCCCAAGCTGCTAGATACAGTGGATGATATGCTGGCCAACGACATAGCCCGGCTGATGGTGATGGTGCGCCAAGAGGAGTCCCTGATGCCCTCACAGGCTGTGAAGGGTGGTGCTTTTGATGGCACCATGAATGGGCCCTTTGGGCATGGCTACGGCGAGGGGGCTGGCGAGGGCATCGATGATGTGGAGTGGGTGGTTGGCAAGGACAAGCCCACCTATGATGAGATCTTCTATACACTGTCTCCTGTCAATGGCAAGATCACTGGCGCCAATGCCAAGAAGGAGATGGTGAAGTCCAAGCTGCCCAACACGGTGCTGGGGAAGATCTGGAAGCTGGCTGATGTGGACAAGGATGGCCTGCTGGATGATGAGGAGTTTGCTCTGGCCAACCACCTTATCAAGGTCAAATTAGAGGGTCATGAGCTACCCTCTGACCTTCCTCCGCATCTCATCCCACCCTCCAAACGGAGGCATGAGTGACCGCCATGCCTGACATACCCCAACCCCCAGGGCTGCTGGCACTTTCTACCCGCCAGCTCCTTGCCTGCCCATGTGGGCCTGGGCCTGGAGGGGCAGAGATAGGGGGAGGGAAAGGGTCACCATTTTTCAAGGTCCATAAAGACTGAGCGGTGTTTCCTCAGCTCTTGAATAGGAAAACCACCATCTTTCTTTTAAGGCTGTCTGGGGTTCAGTGGGAGGCATGGGTTATGCTTGGATGTGAACAGTGGGATTTTGTGCACCAGAACCATGGATATTTTTAATATATAATGTTAGGGGCAGCCTTCTTTCTTGCCTCTTCCTCTGTCTGACAGCCCCACACTCAGCCTCTCCCTACCCCAGCCTTTCCTTGTGCCTTGCCCTGGCCAGGCAGCAACAGGGACTCTGGGGAACTCCTCTCACAACCCTGGCACACCCTTGTGGCATCTGCCTCAGGACTATGTAGACAGGAGAGCTCCCGCCCTCTGTCCCCCAGCTCCCTCAGTTTGTTTTCAGACTGAGGTTTATTCATGGGGCAGTGGCTTTCTTTCTCCTAGTGCTCGGGTAAGCTGTCCCATGCCTCTGCTGTGGTCTGGGGTGCACACCCTCCTTTGCTTCCACACCCTGTCTCTGACATCCCAGCCATCATAGCAGCCACAGGTAGAAGACCTGGCCACTGTTAACTTTTATGGAGATTGGAGAGGTGAGAGACAATGTCTTCCAGGAAAATACATAAGCTAGGTATTGTTCTGTGACACTTTATACTTGACCAAATTTTCCAGTAACTTCCACAACACTTGTTTAAAGCTGTGATTTTTGTCTCCCCTTTCCTATACTCCAGCCTTGGGTCAGTTCCACCTCAGAGCAGACCCCTTGGGCTTGAGTTGCTTTCTGGCTGAGGGGAGGTCATCCCAGCTCCTGCTCTGAGGGGTCTGAAATGTACTCACTTAACGTCAAGCTTCATGGCAGCTTCCTGGAGCCCCTGGCTACCTTGGGGTGGGCAGTGGGCCCTGTGACCTGGGGTGGTGTGCTGGTAAGAGGAAGCCTGTGGCTCTGGCCTGGGTGTAGTGTCCAAGCAGCAGGACAAGGGAAAACCCAACCCCTTCCCTCACCCTCTTATTTCCTTCCTCCCCTCCTCCCGTGCTGAGCCAAGGAGGTCTGGGTGTCCTGAGATCCCCAGACTGAGCAATAAGAAGCCAGAGCTAGCAAATGACCACTTTAGCCACCTCACTGCAGCCTCGGGGACCTGGACACATCCTATGGCCAGTGATTGGCTGTCAGGGTGGGCCTTATGCTGAAGTGGTGGAGCAGCTACAGCTCGCTTATCTGACACTGCCGGTAGGCTTCAGGGAACTGCCTGCCATCACCCAGCCCTGCTCTGGGCCTTGCTGGGGCTGAGCTCCAGCCCGGCCTGTTAGCTCCCTGCCTCAGCCTTCCACTCCTGCCGTTGGCTGAGGGGAGGGGAGATGTCCTCACAGGTCCATTATGTAAAGTCCAGCTAGCTTGGTCCTCACCTGTGGGGAGAGTGGCTGAGCGAAGACTTTGTTCCTTGCATTAAAGAAAGTTTAATTGTGCCAAAGCTTTTCATGCTCCATTGTCTTTCCCTGGCCCTGGAGCCTTTGCAAGGGGTCCCCCAAGGAGCCCATGACCTCACACCTGCTGTGCAGTGGCAAGACTATCTGGAAACGGAACTTGATGTGCACAGTCATAGTCCCAGCACTTGGCACCTGGAGGGAGGACCAAGAGTTCAAGATCAGCTTGGGATATATGAGGGATTGTCAAAAAATCAAAACACCAACAGAGACTGACAGCAGAGTTAAGCTGGGCCCACTTCTGCCATCTCCACGTATCACCTCCACTCAAACACTTCAGCCGCAGACTGGGGACCGGGCTCTGCGGTTAATATGTTCAGGATTTGGGAGGGATCTTATAACAAAGGTTCCAGGGCTCCTAAGCCACCTGGCTCCTCACTTGCCCCAAGGCAGGTTTGGAGACAGCCCAGCCAGCTCTGAAGACAGACAAAGCAGACAAAATCCACAGTTCTGGGTGGGGTTGGTTACAGCCAGCTGATATCACAGATAGGGGACCTGTTTATGACAAGAGAGGAAAGGGTGACAAATTGGGAGTGACATGCCCGGAAGGTCACAGATGGGAAGTAGGGCTGGGAGAGACTGCTCTAGGCAAGGTTGGGACAGAAGTTGGGAGAAACAGGTGTTTATCTCTGAGCCAGAGCTGCCTCCAGGGTCCTGCTGTGGCTAAGGCAGGCCGGATAGCCCAGGCGCCACAGACTTGACACTAGGTAGTGTGGTCCTTCCTTGTGTTAGGTTTGCATCTGTGCTCTAGTCACGGATGGAAGGACCCAGAACAAGGCAACATGTGCAGCAGTGGTGGCCAAGGGGATCCAAACTCAAGTCTACCAACTCTGGCCCTGTTCTTGAGGCAGTTCTCATGGAAACAACTTTTAAAGCAAAGATGGTGTCTGGATTCCCAGCCCCGCTCACTCTCAAGCCACTCTTTCAAGGCCACTCCACCTGAGGTTTTCGATGCTTGGGACTATCTGTCAGCTTGCAGAAATGCCCTGCCCTTGCTCAAGCTGTCAGCACCAAAGAAAATGGGTCCAAGCAGCTCCCTGGAATGCAGTAGGACCCACCTTCATCCCAGCTGTGGGACTTGTGGTATTCTGTCCACTCAGCCCCATTCCTCTCAAGTGATTTCCCCCAAAGGATACCCAGATGGTGCCCACTGAACAGAAGTTTGAGGGAGCCAGGCATTGGTGGCACATGCCTTTACTCCTAGCACTCGGGAGGCAGAGGCAGGCAGATCTCTGTGAGCTCGAGTCCAGCCTGGTCTACAGAGTTCCAGAATAACCAGTTACACAGTGAAACTCTGTCTCAAAATAAAAATTAATAAAAAAAAAAAGTTTGAAGGAGAGCAAAGGCAGGCAACGCCTGCCTGCTGCCCTGAACTCAGGTAGAGTGTTTTGGTTCCACAACTTGAACTCCTCTGGGCCATATGGAATTGAAGGAGAGAGGTCCGCCTGGAGGGCTGGTCCTTACCACTTTGCTGCCTTGTCCCTTGTCCCCTTGCTCCCTTGCTCCCTTCTAGTTTCCTAGAAGCCAAAATCTATCCAGAAGCAAATTCTACCCTGCTCCCAAACCCTAGGATAAGAGGCCTTCAAGACTTGTCTGTCAGCCTACAGCACCACACAAATCTTGAGACCAATGAGGCACGGGGCACATGCCAGCTCTTTAGTGTAATGAGGTTTCTTGCAGGGTCATTCTTACCTGGTCATAGGATATGCCCAAGGCCAGTGGGATGGTAAGAGGACGATGGGGATGGAGGGCTGGAGAGAGGGTTTGGCAGTCTGGAGCGCTGGCTGCTCTTCTAAAGGCCCCAGGTCAGATCACCAACACTCACATGGAGGCTCACAGCTGTCTATAACTCCAGTTCAGGCTTCAAATGTGGTACACAGACATGCAGGCAAACCACCCACACACCTAAAATAATAATAAAGGAGGACAACCAACCACCATTCCTGTTCTCTGCTTTCAAAATCAAAGCTTCCAAGCTAGGCTGGGGTAATGGCAAGTGTGAAAACGTGAGTTCAATCCCCAGAACCCTCCTAAAAGCCAATGTGGCCGTGCATGCTTGGGATTCCTGTACTGGGGAGGCAGAGACGTGCAGACTCCGTGGCTGGTCAGCCAGCCAGCCAGCCAAGCCCATGAGAGACCCTGTCTGAAAACAAGGTGAATGGTATATGAGGAAGAACACTGGCATATACTTGTACTTATACATAAATAATCTGCACATATGCATGCTTTAAAGCTGTATATACAGCGCTCATGAGACACTGGATTTAATCCCCCAACACTGCAAATAAAAAAATAAATGAATCAGTTGTCAACTGTCAGCGTTCAAACAGTAGAATTGACCAAGCAGCTGTATGTTTAAATTCTAACTCTGCTACTTGCTGGAGTGGAGCCTGACTTTTGCTTTCTAAGCCTATTCTTTGGGCTCCAAAAAAACCTGTGCTCAGCTTCCTCCCCTGAGCACCTTGGGTAGGGCTACTCAGGGGGGTAGGGGATGTGGGGAACATGGTATCCCACCCAACACGCAGAATAAAACAGAGGGACCCACCCTTCCCTGAAGCAGCTCAGACAGGGTGGCGCCAATGAGCTGCAGGGGTGCAAGGTAAGGGGGCTCTGGCCTGGCTTCCTGTGCACCCAGAGAGACGGGTAATTGCAAAACCACATGAGCTGCAGCTGAGCAGAGCGTGGGAGCCCCTGTGGTGAGCTGGAGCAGCACAGGGGAGGATTTGGAAAGAAAAGTCAGGATGATGAAATCACCATATGTCCACCCATTTGGAACACTGGACATTCCACAGGAAATACCCATAGTGTGGCCGACAGGGAAGTGGTATGGGAGTTGACACAGGTTAAAATATGAGGGGTCGGGGCTGGAGAGATGGCTCAGAGGTTAAGAGCACTGGCTGCTCTTCCAGAGGTCCTGAGTTCAATTCCCAGCAACCATATGGTGGCTCACAACCATCTGTAATGAGATCTGGTGCCCTCTTCTGGCGTGCAGACAGAACATTGTATACATATTAATAAATAAATAAAAATCTTTCAAAAAAAATATGAGGGGTCAGCCGGGTGTTGGTGGCGCACGCCTTTAATCCCAGCACTTGGGAGGCAGAGGTGGATCTCTGTGAGTTCAAGGCCAGCCTGGTCTACAAGAGCTAGTTTCAGGACAGTCTCCAAAGCCTGTCTCAAAAAAAACAACAAAAAAAAAAATATATATATATATATGAGGGGTCTCCACTGATCCAACAGAAACCTTCAAACAAGCCGGCTGGGCTATTGAGGTCCCCACACCATAGCTATTCCTAGATAGAAATGTCGGACAGGCCAACAAGAGCCCCACGAGGAGCTCCATGACACCTCATTTTCCCTAGTATACAAGCAGGTGCCCCTCTCCATTATATATAAAAAGTCATCAGAGAGAGGGTAAAGACTTGCCCAAGGTGTTATACCCGGGCCACAGCAAGCAGACCTATGCAACCTGGCAGGCAGCCATTCTTGGAATGCAGAACCAGAGATTTTGCACTACTTCTGAAACTAGGGTTAGGAGACTCAGCCACCCCCATGGAGCTGAGTCTGGATTTTAGAAGGGGAAACTGCAAGTCTGGGCTCAGGAAGCCAGAAATGTGGCCACAAAAATTACAGGCACCCTTCTCTCAGCCCATCTTGAATCTGGGTTCTTTCCAGACTCAGAGGGTGTCAGAAACACCTAGGCTTCCTGCTCCAAATACCTTCCCCTTCTGGATCTCCCCCTCTAGGAACTTTCTGTTTCTCCTAAGCCTGGGACTCTTGAGTTGACAGCTTCTTTTCCTATATCCAAGTCCTTTTACAGGAGCATTTACCCAATCCATCTAGGTAGGGCTATGCATTGTTCTTTATGCCCCATAGCCCATGGTACCCTTCTGCTGCTGGCAATGGGCAAGCCAGGCACTCAGGGTGTGGACTACAGGAAGAAACTAGAGCTGTTTGTCACTGCCTTCTGGCCTCCCTGTGTCGATCTGTGAAGGGGGTGGATAATAATATGCCTGTCTCTGGAGATAAGACACCTGTGACCACTTTGAAACACCAAGGATCTTCTTAAGAGAGTGTTATCTACTGCCAGGGCCTCTCACGAAAGCTGGTGCCAACACCTCCACACCAAGGAAGTTTGGGAGGCCAGGGAAGGCTGTGGAGTATCAGGTCCTTCCTGCAGGCCTGGTTGAGCCTCCAGGATGCAATGATACAGAGTAAGCCTTTTGAAGAGACAGAATGACAATGGCTAGACTGCTCAGACTGGCTGGAGCTGAGGCTCTGAGCTGACAGATTCTCTCATGGCTGGGCTGAACCATGAGCCAAGTGCAGTGCTCCATTGTGAGCAAGGTCTCTGGTCTGTGGAGCCAAGTCCACTGGAGATCAGAGAACAGAACAGTAGGATGGAGGGTGCCACATGTAGGAGTGTTTGTGAGTTTTAGGGCTAGAAGTCGGGCTATCTGTTGAAGCCAGAGCAGAGTCCTGCGGAGAGTGAACCTGTAAGGACTTTCTGAGGCTACAGTGAAGTGAGCAGCAGGTACCACTTACACAAACAAGGAAGCAGCAGCTTGCAACAATGACGAGACAAAAAAACAAAACAAAACAAAAAAACCCCACTAATACAGGGGCCCAGGGTGCAGCTCAGCTGGTTGAGGGCTTCCCTAGCATGGTAAGGACATGAGTTTGCTTCTCTGAAACTTCATGAGACAGGCACACAGGAGGAGGTGGAGGCAGGAGAATAAGTTCAAAGTCAACTTCTGCTAGATAGTGTGGAGAACTGAAGTCCAACCCAGGATATATACAACTGAGTTTCAAAACCATCAAACAAAAAATTAATACAGAACCTAAAAGAATTGAGTTCCTGAGAGGTCTGAGTGCTCAGTTATTTATTTACTTATTGAGACAGGGTATTTTTTTTTTTTTTTTTGGTTTTTCAAGACAGGGTTTCACTGTGGCTTTGGAGGCTGTCCTGGAACTCGCTCTGTAGACCAGGCTGGAGACAGGGTATTTTATTGTTGTTTGTTTTGTTTGTTGTTTTTATTTTTTCCCACAAATAATTCTTTTTATTTGTCACTATTAAAAATCTTGAAAAATCTGGAATGCTCCAGGAATTTGCATGTCATCCTTTTGCAGGGGCCATGCTAATCTCCTCTGTATTGTTCCATTTTTAGTATATGTGCTGCCGAAGTGAACACTTGTTTGCTGGGTTTCTTGGTGTAACATCTCTGGCTGTCCTGGAACTCAATACTAGATTTGTAGACCCCGTTGGCCTCAAACTCACAGAGATTCACCTGCCTCTGCCTCCTGAGTGCCTCTACCACCTGGTCTTTCCATATAACCCTGGCTGTCCTAGAATGTAGACCAGGCTGGCTTCAGACTCAGAGATCTGCATGCCTCTGTTTCTGGAAAGCTGAGCCACCATGTCTAGTTGGAGTATTCAATACAAAAAGGAGTCCCAGCTCTGTCCCGGTGCAGCACTAAATCTTGGACTCAGTTTCCCCTCCACTCTGGTATGGAGTTGAAGGCTGCTTGGAGATGGGTTTTCTCAGGATTCAGCTTTCAGAGAAGTTAAGCGCCTTGTGGAAGTGATATAGGGAGTGAACTAAGACTTGAGGCCTGGACAGTTGGTTCGTGACTGACCTCTGTAGCTGGAAAATCAGCATTCCAGGACCCGGTCCCAGCCTCCTAGTTCTCCAATGAGAACTTGCTTACACCTCCTCTGGTCTCTGGCGCCGCCCTGTGGTTTCATACCTTCTGTGGGCCTCATTCTTGCCCGGCCCCGAGGAAGGCTCAGAATCCCTCGGGGAAGACGCTGCCAGGACTCCACCGAGCCACCTAACAATGTCAGCACCTCTTGGCTGCATAGTGTGTTCCAGAACAGCCTATCAAAAACAAAAACAACAAACAAAAAACATCAATCCCAATTCTTGCCTGCCCTTCCTCCTCCCTTGGCAGCAGTGCAGAGGCTGCCCAGATTTGAATTTGAAACTTGAGTCTCCTTCCCAGCCTGACTGATCTGGGAAAGAAACACACGCCTGTGTTTTCCCCATTTCAAACTGTGGAGCCCACGGAGAAGGGGCTCTGCAGATCAAATGAGAGACCCGCAGCGTTTCTAAACCCCCTGTTTGACAGGAGTAGGGGTGTCCCATTCAATTTGCCCCTGCAAACATTCAGAAGATTTCCTCCCTCAACACTGGGACCCTGATCCTGCCATGCACCCTTCCATTTGGTATCTGGTTCTGGCGAGAACTATGGTCTCGTAGGATCGAGGCCAGCACAGCTGGACACAGCTGGCCAGAAATCAGAGAATTCGCGGGACAGAGCCAGCACCTCCTCCCTCTTTGCTTCCTTCAGCCCATCTCGGACTTCTCGAGCCCTCCACATTCCAGGTCAGGCCCGCTGGCCTTGTTCCCGCCAAAGCCTTAAAAAGCGGTACCACCTAGGTCCACAGGAGGGTCAAGCCTCAGTGTATTCATCTGCTAAATGAGTGTGCCCATCCCTACCGCAACTACATGTCTCTGGGTTAACTTTAATGATGTAAAGGAGATCAGAAACTTTTTTGGGGGGAGTGGTGGTGGTGAGTGTGTTGCCTTAGCGCGGCTTGCAAACCCGGGCGAGAGCGGACTACAACTCCCATCCGGCTCCAGGGCCGCAGCCGTCCCTAGCCCCTCCGGCCTGGCTGAGGGACAGGCCGCTGGTCCCGGCGCGCGGGAAGTTGCGTGCCCTGGGCACGCACCATGAAGGTCAGGGCCCCATGAGGGTGTCGGTGGGGCTGGGACTGGGGCGGCACTGGGATGAGATGGGCCTCTCGCGACCCCAATGGACCCCCCCCTCCAACCCCGCCCAGGAGTTACTTTTCGTGTCCCGCCCTTCCACTTCCTGGCCGAGGATCGGCCCCGCCCCCGCGCGCCTCCGCCTTCCCACCTTCACCTTCAGTCGCAGCTCCCATTGGTCGGCGCGCACCTGCCCGTCCGTCGGGGGCGGGCTTGGAGGGCGGGGCGGGCAGCCAGGTGAGGGAGCGCGGGTAGCGACGGAGGAAGGTGACAGCGGGGAGGGCGGGAGGGTGGGGGGAAGCCGCTCAAAGCGAGCCGCGGAACCACGGACGGACCGCCGGACGTACGGACGGGCCATGAAGGCAGCCGGGCTCTAGCCTGGGTTGTGGGGCTCCAGCCGCAGCTATGGAGCAGCGGCTGCGTGCGCTGGAGCAGCTGGTACGGGGCGAGGCCGGTGGCAGCCCGGGGCTCGACGGCCTCTTGGATCTGCTGCTTGGGCTGCACCACGAGCTCAGCAGCGCCTCCCTGCGCCGGGAGCGCAACGTGGCGCAGTTTCTGAGCTGGGGTGAGTGGTCAAGGCAGCCCCCGGGAAGGGAGGCTGGGGGGACACCAGCCCGAGCTCTACCTCCCCAGACCCTTCCCCAGGGATGGCGCACTCCAGAAACTTCTTCCTGAAGACACACTAACTCCTCGCGTTGTCTCTAACGCTTGCCGTCGAACTCCACAGCCTGCTCACTCACCTCATCTTACCTCAAACTCCCAGACACAGGGACAGGTACACAACGTACACCTCACGCACTCGCTCATCCCCAGCCGTAGACCCCGGACATATGTTGCCAATACACATCCTCCACAACGGTCACCTCCAGGATTCCTTGGTCACACGTCACACTTCATGCCCCACCCAGAACACACATTCAGGTGGACTCCCGTTTTGTCACATAAACACAGACTTTCTCAATCTCCTTTTTTTCTTCAAGAGATTGGGACTTTGCTCTGGGACCCCACCCACCTGTGTGGCTCTTCCACGCACTCAAATCTTCCAACCTCACCTTGCAGACAAGTCTCCTTACCCCAGTCCCTAGCCTGGAGGAAGGACAAACCTCAGCCCCTTTGGGGACTTGGGTCCTCAATGGAAGCGGATCTGCACCCTTTTCTGTTTGACTCATCTGAATCCTTGGGAGCAGA